GTTAATAATTACTAAACAATAAAATAATATTGATTTATATTATATGTTATGTTCATTTATAAACACACTTTATAGTTTTTTATTATTTAAATTTAAATTTTATTATTTTATATTGTTATTAATTTAAATAGTAGTGAATTATATGAAATACATAGGAGAAATATTATTATATATAGATACGGGTTCGGGTTTGGGTAATTGAGTACCCATGAAGAATATTTTAATAATTTTTTATCTAATCAGGTTTTTAAACTGATTAGGATAATTATAGGGCAGTGAGAATATATTAGGATTAGGTTAGGGTTAGGGTAATAATTTTTAAAATTATTCGAGTAATTAATAAAGTTCAAGTATTTGATTTTTTATAGGCATAAGGTTCGGCGTACCTCCAAATTAATGGGTATCCTACCCATTGACAACTTTAATATTTTTACCCCGTACACATTAATGACATGTAGATATAAAATGATAAATAATATATTGACTAATATAATTAGTCAATCATTAATTATAAAGACTTAGTTAATTTAAAATAGAATATAAAAAATTCATAGAACATAATATAATAAAAGTTTATTTGAATTTTTTAAAATAATTTAAAGATTTTTTCAAGTATTATGATTGAAAAGAATAAAAGTGAATTTTATTATTTTTGTCCAATAATTGCATGATATATATTCTTTTTAAAAACAAATTACAATGAAAATTTTATTACATGTTTTATCTTACTCTTATTTATTTTAACTCTTTCTCTATTTTTATTTGGATTCTTATTTATTTATTTTTACCCACATTCAGTATAATTTTTGAAGATTAAATTTAAAGGCAAGTTCACCACCATCATTCTCAAGTTTTATCCCTTTGCGTTTTCTTTCTAATCTTTCTTTTCCTTTCTATTTTTCTTTGTTAATTTATTTTCTCTTTTGTTCTTTTTTTGGATTGATTTATTTTTTTCTTTTGTTAGTATGTGTTATGACTGAAAAAAAATAGTGGACTAGTCCATCCTTCTCCCTTGACCAAAACTGTTTTGCAAAGTTCATTTGCACGCCTCGCGTATCTTGCTCTTGGGCTTTCCACTTTCCCTTTCTACTTTAGGGCATGTGGCTGGCTCGGAACGACCTTATTTTTTTGCAACACTATTTTTTTCAAAGACCCTTGGCAATTTGTTCCTGATCACTCTACGTGTGAATTTTTTGCCCTCTTAAACTGTCACCCACAACTTGCTGTCAATGCTTCTATTCTTGTGTCTTAGAAACAAGAAATCCACCTCTTTGCTAGTGCATGCTATTAGGAGGTGGAACTTTAAGAAGAGACACTTTTTCTCCTTCCGACCGTCTTATCTTCGACACACATCTTACACTCTTTAACCAAATAAAAAAAAAAAAGTGAAATTGATATTTCTGTCCTATACAGTAAAACCCAAAACCTAGTGCGATCAGATTCATGAAGAATGCAATCATTAAGAAACTAGAAACTGCACCACAACAATAAAGTTCTGCGAGAGGCACGCTATCATGGACACTAGAGATGCAACATATTATTCCTAGTTCTTCTTTAGGCACAGAAAGATTAAAGATTCCAACATATAGGTATGGACACAAACTGCACCCCTTCAACCATAAGGGACAATATTGTTCTTCCTTGCAAGTCTTGACCTAAAATAGTAACAACCATGGTTTATCTTTTAATTTAATCCTGTTCTAGCCATAACGTTTGGAACTTCAAGCCTTCAATGTCATCCTTGCATCAGTGATAGTCATTTCAAACATGATAAAATAAAACTTAATTTGTACAAGTTTCAATGTAAACACAAAACGAGAAAAATAGATCAATGAAAATTGATAGACCTGCATGTCTTCGAAGGCTATGGATGGTTTCTGCATGGTGATTTTCTCTTTCTCTTTTTTTTTTTTTCTCTCTTCCCTATTCTTACATTACTCTGTATTCGAGTTTTAAACTATGCTTGGGGTTCCTGAGTGATGCTGTTTTCAAGCTGTTCTTGTTATTCCCATTATTTGATTATAAATATCGGAACAATACTCATGGGGTTTTTTTCTAATTATTTTCTTTTAAATAAGATATGAGCTTGTCCGGTTTCATTTTCTTTAAATAAAGTATGGTACAGTTTGTGGACTAATTGAATCTATGATCATAAAATCATAATCATTTTAATATGATTTCAAATTGTTAGATATTTATAGTAATACAATCATCAATATCAATAATAACACAAAAACTTATATACAATGTATATCAGTATATATATATTTCAAGTAGGTTAAATAGAGCTGATAAAGTTAAGAACCTCCTTTAGACCTTTAATCCTTATGAAGCCAAACAATATATTCTCGCTACGAACGGACAAGCGCCCTCGACCCAACAAACTAATGTAATGGAGTCTTGAAGTAGAAGACAAAACACAACGTTATAAACTGTTTTGTTTAGTGACGCACCACCACTTCAATCAAATCATTAGCAAAAGTGAAGCATTCTCTATCTGGCATCCGCAGTAAGTGCAGAGAGAAGTTGAGCCAAATCACTTCCCAGTTTCCACTGCCACATCTTCAAGATATTGAATCTAAATCAGCTTAGGTAACCTTCCCCAACTACCCTCTTCCCTGCCCACTAAAGCTGATATATAAAGCTTTTAAGGCCATGTTAATTTGATTCATGAGAATAATTAAAGAAAACTACGATGGAAAAAAATCAAAAGAATTGAAAAACAATATGTGAATGGAATAAAATAAAACCTCCCTTATTTGCACGGATCAAAGAAAATAAAAAAAATTATATTCTTGTAGTCAACTAATTTCACATGTTCAAATTTTTTTGAAGGATATACTTCAACAATTTTTTTCATATGAATTTTGTTTTCTAAAATAGTATTCTAAGGGTATTTTTTCTTAATTAATGTTTTATGAGTCATTTCTATTCTTATAGGAGATTACATGGTAATTTTATCTAATCAAATCACCAAACATACATGTTAATTTCTGCAAAATGTGAACTTGACCTTAGAGTTCTCTTCCCCACTGCTCCATCTCGCAAGACGTCTACTCTTTGGAGAAATATTTCTCGTTCTCTTACGATTGATGATGCTTTTCATGAGTCGGTGACCGCTAATCTTGGATATCTCCTTGGTAATAGACGATCCATTCGCTTTTAGATTGACCCGCGGCTAGGTGATCAATCTCTTCAACTCATGTTCTCAAGGATTTTTGCCCTTAGTTCCAACAAAACAGGAGTGGCTACTGACTATGGTTCATGGGAAGGAAATATTTGGAAGTGGTCCATCCTTTTTAAGCATAATCTGTTTAGCTAAGAGCTTGGGCAATGGTCTAACTTCGTGGACCTCATCATTCTAATCCAACCTCACCATTTTGACCCTCATAAAGCCATATGGAAGAAGTCCACTAATGGTGATTACACGTCTTCATCTTTATCAGCCTTTATCAAACGGACAGATGTGTTTCTCAAAATCATTGGTAGTAACTTTAGAAAGGTCTTGCACCCCCAAAGTTGAAGTCTTCACTTGCTAGGTAATTCTTGGGAAAATTGCAGTGAAGTATGAACTGCTTAAAAGGAGTATGATCGATGCTAATGTTGCTCTATGTATAATGTGAAACAAAGAACTTGAGACCTCTTCCCACCTCTTATTCACATGTTCGGTCGCTTGGAATATTTGGATGCATAATTGTGGCCTTCGAGGACTAAGTTGGGTCCATCCGTATGAAGCTACCTCTTTCTTTGACTCATGGCAGAAAAGCAAGCCTTCAACAAGGTCTCCTAAGATTTGGTACATGCTCTTTTTCTCTACTTTATGGTTTATGTGGCTTTGTAGGAACGAAGTTCTTTTTCAAGGTAAACTTCTTGACGTGAGTTTACTCCAAGACATCATCTTAATTAGTTAGGTTAGCTTACTGGTGTAAAGGGGAGTGACCTTTCAATGACATACTTGCTTCCCATTTCCCATATGAACCTAGCAAAATCACTTTTAAGAATAGGAAATGCAAAGTCAAACTTGTCACTAAGTGAACGAGGCCACCTCTTGGCTTTTTCAAACTCAATGTGGATGGATCTATCCTTGGTAATCTTGGGCCTGTTAGAATTGGTGGTGCTATCAAAGACCATGGCCGCTTCATCGAAGGAGTTTTTTCCTTTCCCATCGGGATTGAAGACTCCAATTTTGTTGAATTTTTTGCTATCAAAAAAGGTCTTTCCTTCTTTCTTTCTTCACCTTGGGTCACCTGCACCCTTCAAGTTGAAAACGTGTCTAAAAATGCCATCTCCTAGGCACTTGACCACACCATTTTCCCTTGGCGTATGAAGAATCTTTCCAACTGCTTCGAAGCTTGTAAGGCAACGGCTAGGGAGTTAACTTTTAAACACATCAACAGAAAGGCCAATAGCTTAGCCGATGGACTAGCCAATGCTAGGACTATCAAGTTTAATTGTTTCTCAAGTTTGTCCTGTTGATGTGGCGTGTACTCCTTTGTTGAAAACTAAGCTTGCTGTGACTGTGGTTCTTTGTTATCCTTTCTTCACTTTGGCCTCGTTAAGTGCACTTTTTAACTTTATGGTTTTTTTTTTGGCTGGTTGGATTTATTGTGCTTGATTATGCTGGCATGTTATTTCTTTCTTTTATGGTTAGAATTTTTTTCGGTTTTTTGTAAGCTTTTCTTCAGGGGACTGCCTCTCTCAGTTCCCTCTTGTAATTTCCTTCTATAGCTTTGATTTAATATCATTCTCTTGCCATTCAAAAAAAAAAAAATCCAAGTTAGTTTTTTTTTTTTTTAATTTAAGGAAGAGAGATTTGAACCCTACTCTTTAAGTAAGGAAATTATACACTAATTAATGAGTTAAATACTCTAATACTAATTCAAAGTTAGTTTATTTGTTCACACTTAAAAGGATATTTTTATAATTTTATTAAATAAAATTAATAATCTAAGAACAAAAGTTATTCAGAAAATGTTAATGAAAAAAAGATATCCATAAGGTTCTATTTGAAAACAAAATTATATAATGTTATGTAAAAAAAGAAAAACAAGAAATATAAGTGAAGTTTATTTTTTTAATTATTAAAAAAAAAATTGACTAAACTAATTTACATGGAAAGTTTAAGATATCACATTTAAATGATGATAGAAAGTACACAAGATCGCTTATCCCATATTTTCTTTGTAATGTCATAAAATGATTATACACTTCTAATTCAAGTACATAAAATTCGATTTTTTTTCTCAAAAAATGAATAAACAGCTCATAGAATTTTTCCAACAGCATCATCATGAACAGACATGTGACATGTGTATGTCACTCCAGTCCCTATCCCCAAATTAACTAGTGGGCCTGTAGGAACATGTTCAACATCATGAAAAAGAGTAAAAAAGAACCAGAATAAAAGAAGGAAAAAGGGGGAAGAAAAATGCAAGACATTAGAGAGGCATAGCTTTGTAGCTACGCTGTGGCACCTTCTTGAAGAGAGCCCAAGCCAGATCAATGTAAAGTGGAAACTGCGCGATCGCGAAGAGCGTGACGGGCAGGCAAGTCACGGCATACACTGGAAACGCAGCGTCTTTCAACTTATCTTTCAAATTAAAGAAATGCCCCGCACAAAAAGACACCAACACCGAAGCTATCGACACAAACAGCGACGTTAACCCAAGCAAAAGCTTTCTGGGCAAATCTTTGCCAAAATCTTTCTCTTCGTACCGCGACGTTAGTATTGACAGGAACATCACCACGGCTGTGACGGAGAAGCAGAGAGCAATGAGAGATGAGATCGCGAAGGCTTCGAACGCTGGATGATTTTCGAAAGTGGGTTTACCACTTTCTGACTTGACCCCTCCTGGCACGGTGGTTGATGCGGCGAAGGCCACGGTTGCGATCAATGCAGCCACGACGGAGCATGATTCGGAAGTGTTGGTTAGCCATTCACCACCCTTTTCGACGAGGTTTTTGTGTGTCTCGGTGAAGATGTCCTTTGGGGTCTTGTTGTCCTTGTTGTAGCGAGCGAAGAAGTGGACAGGCATTGACTTCTTGACAAACTGCATTTAACAAAGAATGCTGACGGTGTAAAAATCATAGTAATTGATGATACAATAAACTAAACATAAAGTTTATTACCTAATGGTGATTTATCTGATCATACCTCATACCACTTGATTTCCCATTGCATTTGTAGAGCAGCCCCTGGAATCAGCCAAGGCTTATGGTCTCCCAGCATTGCTGCTAGGTGCAATGCACTATTTCCTTTCTGATCCACCGCTCGGAAGGGGCTATCTTTCATGATATTTTTCTTTAGCAACAGCTCGTAAACGTGCGGTTGCCTGTTCTCCACTGCCAATAATACTATATTTTTCTTTTCCGAGTTCATCTCATGTATTGCCACGGGAAAAAGTTCTAGGATCTTCTCCACCATCTCAGTGATTCCGCTCTTTGCTGCGATTAATATTGGTGTCTCTCCTTTTGTTACGTCTTTGTGTTTCTCCTTCTCTCCTGATAGTAAGTGAATTTTTTTTTGCAGTGCTCAACAAATTAAGACCAAACCGACAAGAGGTTTCTTTAGTTTTAAATTTTAATACTATGTTATTGTGTTATAAATTTTGGTATGAAAGGCAATAATAACAAAAAAAAAAGGTCATAATTGACTGTAAAAATTACTTTGTAAGTTATAACATTGATGTGCCACTAATATTTTAGAATTTGGGAGAAACATTAGCTTAATTGTTTCTGAGAATTTCTGTATAAATGTGTTGGAGGGAAGCGAGAGAATTACCTTCAAACGTATTTTCCTCGCTTTGCTCATGTTGTTTAGCTAAATCTGAACCATCGGTGGGGGTAGGCATCTTAATATCACCACATTCAGTAAGTTCATAGGGCTTTGTCTCGTCGTGATCATACAACGATACCTGGGGTCTGGTGTCACTGTCTTCAGACTGGTACATAGAAGCATGTTGGAGAAGTTCATTCATGATCTGGACAGCCCAAGTATGCTTCTCTTTCTTCTCCCTTAGGTGCCTTATTCTTCTTGATCCTTACAAACAGCCAGCATTGAAATACTATAAAGGAGCTATATTGTGCATATAAATAGCGATTATGAGCCAATAAAAGAGACCCAACGCCGATCAAGCTAATCAACAGACTTACCTAATCCTAGTATAACTAACATTGCTTTGGATAGCAACTTCAGAAAATCAATGAAGGTGCCATAATTGGGAGGAAAGAATTGATGTCCTTCATGTCTATGGAGTCCTTTGTCTCCTGTACAAATTACAAAACAAGATTAC